ATCCTGTTTGATGATTGTCTGATTTTTTAAAAAGGTTTTAACGTAGTTCAAGCACTCCTAGGGAACCATAAAGCTGGCCAGTCATAAAAAAATCGTGATTTGATAACTAGGTGCAGCAGAGGACTGGATTTTTGCATGTTCGTAGAGGAGAACTCGATTTACACTCGGGCACAATTTCAATCGGATCCGATGGTCGACTAAGTTTTTGCGAAGCTTCCAATATAGTCTAAAATATGGACAAATTGCGCGTTCTTTAAAAAAAATCGTACCTGAATAACCAGAGCAGGCAAAACGCTGAATGTGGGCACCTTTATAGGAGAGATCGGGAGAGATACTATTGGAAAATTGCGATCGCATCCGATCCTACGCTGATTTTTTGCGAATTTTTCAAGGTAGTCTGAGAACGCAAAATGCCATAAATTACGTGTGTGGGTTTAAAAAAACCAACACTTGATAACCAGAGAAGACTAAAAGCTGAATTTCCGCCTGTTTAGAGAAGAGAGCCTAGTTTATACAAGTGAAAAATTGTAATCGCCTCCGACGCTCGACTGAAATTTTGTTATTTTTTAAATATAGTCAAAGAACGCGTAAAACTGTAAAGTACGCGTGCCCATAAAAAACGTACTCTAAAACCGGCGAAAACAAAATGAGTTAAATTTCCGCCAGATTATAGAAGAGATCCTTCTCTATACTAGCGAAAAGTTTAAATCGCATCCGAGGCTCAGCTGAATTTTTCTGGTTTTTTCAATGTTGTCTCAGAACGCAAAGTACTATAAAGTACCCGTGTCCCTAAAAAATGTAAACTCTATAATCAGAGGAAACAAAAAGGTGTGTTGTTATCGCATGTTTATAAAAGAGATTCTACTATATACTAGTGAAATTTTCTATTGCATGCTAAGCTTTGCTCAACTTTTGTGCACTTTTGACTTTTGAGTATAGTCCGAGAATGCAAGACATTATAAAGAACGAGTGCCCGTAAAAAAATCCTATACTCTATAACCAGAAAAGACAAGAAGCTGAATTTCCCCATGTTTATAGAAGAGATCCTAATTTATACCAGTGGAAAATTTCAACCGCGATCAATGCTCGCCTGAATTTTCGTGAATTTATTTATATAATTGTCTGAGAACGTCAGAAGCGATAAAAAACACGAGTTCTAAAAAAACTGAAAACTCTATAACCAGAAAAGACACAAAGCTGAATTACGCCATGTTTATAGAAGAGATCCTAATTTACACCAGTGGAAAATTTCAACCGCGATCAATGCTCGCCTGAATTTTCGTGAATTTATTTATATAATTGTCTGAGAACGTTAGATGCCATAAAAAACACGAGTTCTAAAAAAACTGAAAACTCTATAACCAGAAAAGACACAAAGCTGAATTTCCCCATGTTTATAGAAGAGATCCTAATTTATACCAGTGGAAAATTTCAA